GAACTTGGGTTGGTTGTATACACTGTTGCAAGTCTAATTATATTAAATTATGTCGCGTGGTAATGACTGTAACTTAAAATTCGGATTTTCCGGGTCAGATAAAATTGTGTGGTAGATTGTCTGAGCTCGTCCGTAAAAACTAAGGAAAGGAGCGTCATCAGAATATGCATATGCAAAAAGTATCTTGTAAGGAGAAATGGGGTTTCGAGGTGACTTAACTCATTATCCAATTCAATTGCATGAATATTGTTTCCACATTTATATTGATTCGATAAGTTCGAATTGTTTCAGGACCAACAGTTTTCGCTATCTCAAACTACTGTACTACTACTGATGTACGTTTTTACTTTTCAATATAGAATTTTAAAGATGGCAGAAAAAGAGAAAAAATATTTAACCGATATTTAACCGATATGAATAAGCCTCGATATATGTTTCTTGAGTCGTAAAAAAAATGAAGGAAATACAAGAACAAAAAGACATTAAGATTCATTTTTAGACAGATTAAGTACAATACGCATGTAAGACTTGATATAGACACGGAGCCGATAAGAAAAATAAAAGAGAACAAAACGAAATGTGAAAAAGAAAGCCTCCTGAATAAGGCCAGAGGTAACGTGGAGGATTGTTTTACTCACTAAATCTTTCTGGAAAATGAAAAAATGTTTTCACCAAAAAAACCCTGATTACATTATGCATCACTAGGAAATATTATTGATAATAATTAATTAAAAACTTTAAATAAAATGTATTATAATTGTTACATTTTACAGGGGTATTGTTATACAGTAGCTACTTACGTGACAAACGTGCAAAAAGCGGATGTCAATGACACTCACCTGGAACATAAAATAAACGTACAATCAGTTACAAATTCAAATAAGGATGGATATGTAAGTCATCTTTTAGCATAAGAGTTGCCACGAGTCAATATTTACATGCTCCTGTAGATCAAGCATAGATAGCAATGTCATATCCAAACAATAAAATCCATTAAAACGAGGGAAGATTTTACTTGACTGTCTGTGTGTGCTCAACGCTTGACTCAATCAAACTTCACAGTACATTCTACCTCCCTTTCTATTTGTCTGTCTTGTTCTAAGAATATACCACCAACAAATAAAAAGAGTACACTTATGTATATCTACTAAGTCGACGACAGATTTTAGCTGCGCGCTAAGGAAGCAAGACTTAAAAGTCAAATCTTTTTTTCCCATGCCTAATAAAATATCCATGGTGCTTAGGTAATTTATTTATTTTTTATTGTAATAATTTCATATAATAGCAAAATTAATCCATGTTAGAGATATTTTATAAGGTTTAGTTCTTAAACAAGCTATAACGATAACATTATATTAATTTCATCCTTTTCGAAAGTATGATCTTTCGTAAATTAAGTTTTTTATTGTGGATGACTAAAATAATCAAATTATTAAACAAGGCAATAATTGCTACAATTGCTGAGGATACGATGAAGCATTGAAATAAAGTTCACGAAATAAGCGTAGGATGCAGAAAAATGATGAAAACCAAGCACAGCGGAAAAGGTTGAATTTTCTTTTAAGATTTCAGAGAATTGGAGGATTTCAGGTGGGCTTAAAAGACAGAGTTAATAACGGACGGTAATGTAAGTTTGGTTGATCTCACACTGACGTCGAGTAAAATGAAGTCGCAAGACGCGTCCTTGACGTCGTTAAAATCGATGATCTTTTGATGTACGGGGCTTACGCGCACACAAGCGAATATATTTTAATTACATATTGGCGGTACATCACTGAATTTTTCTTCTCCTTGCGCCGCAATTTTTCCGTCGAGTGAGCTTCATGAAAAGCGACTAGTTAAGAATATCAATGCGCCTTTTGTAAGTATACCGACGCTACGAATGTAATAAAAAGTGCATTAAAAAGATGCTGAATCATGCTTGACGCGCCCATAAAGTACTGCTGCAGTCCGAACAAATTATTTTCAAGACTTGCGATTCTAGTATAGGGGAATTATAAAAGAAAACAGCGCAAGTATCTCACAACTCATTATATAACATAGATATGCCATGCTGATATAGGCAAGTACAGAACTCCGGACAAAACGATCTCGGGCGAAGTTCAGGTAAAATGGCAAATATGATAGGTTGGCGAAACCTCGGTCATTGTACGGACGCGTGGGCAACGAAAAGAGCAGCGCTGTGAATGCCTGTGCGCGCGCCTTATAAAATAATACAGTCTGGTGTATTACGCACGTGGCTCATAAAAATGGCTCGTATAAATTATAATATGCATTGACTTCCCCCTGCGCACGCGCGAAGCAGCCTATCACACGCTAGCGGAGAGCATTAAAGGACTCGCGCTGTAACGAATACCTATACAATCTCCATTCTTTTTGGACTTGACCTACGAGGCATTTTATAGTAGGCATTGTTCATCTAGTAGCTACTACAAAGTAGTATAGGTTGGCATTTATTAAATGTACATGCACACACGTTTGAGCACATCTGCAGATACCATGTTACAAGAGAAAAAGAACGAAACAAAGAGAGCAAGAGAGAGAGAGAGAAGAAAGAATAAAGAAATAGAGGGTGGTCCAAAGTCAGCAGCTGACAATTCACAGTACGAAGACTTTTCTTATGAGCTTGATCACCTCAGACTAGCCTCTTGGGATATGATTCTAGGTACATAATATAAGAAAGTCGAACCAGTTATATTTATTAACTCAAGTGCATGCATTGATAAAATATTTTCTAGCAACCATCGTCAACAATTGCATTTATGTCGCTGCAAAGCTGCAGATGACAGTTCCTTTTAATTTTAATATTGTTTACATGTAAATCGGCTATCGATAGATGCACCTTTGCATAAACTATATTTCACCTATATACTTGCACAACACGTATACACACACATACACACACACCTAGCGTATACGTGTACACGATGTATTAAAAAAAAAGATACATCAAACCTGCATTCCTGCGGCTGCTCCAGTGCCGCTCGCCGTTGCATTTATCGAACCTTGAAGCGAGTCAAACGGCTCGAGACGAATAAACCGCAGCTGCCCGCGGTAAAAAATTAAAATTTATTTACGCACTTTTAAATCAAAACTCTCTTGCTTTTCAAAAAATATACTGTTAGTTAGTGTGTGTTTTTTCAAAAAATAATAAGCTCGAGAGAAAAGAAGGGAGAGAGGATTTCGAAGAGTTTTCAGTTAATAGATTCGAGCATCGTGCAATAAATTACGTTACCTTTACCACATCCCTAGGCCCATGTATAAGTATATATAACATCTTGAAGATGTGTACAAGCACCAGAAATGACTGCTCGTACTTTTCCTGGCTTTTTTTGAGTTTGGCTCAGCTATGAGCGGTTGTAATTACAAACAATTTAAAAAAAAGTATAATGCACGCGCATTATGTTTGCGGGTCAGATGTGCAATAACAACAACATAAACTAAAGCCCGGTGAAGACTCCCAAGTATTTAAAATAAAAATTAACATTACGCTCTCGGCAAACCAAACAGTCAGTAGCTCATCCTTGTGGCCTTGGCGCTTTTGTCCTCATGGCTCCATTCTTCACAGCTTATCAACAAGGCAGAATTGAAAAGTGAAAGATGATCGAAGTGTAACATTGTTCGATCTCATACGACTGAACGACTCGATCGAGTTATGCTCGCGAGGTTGAAATGCGTTCAACTCTTTTGACCCATTCGTAGATCTGTTTCATCATGCGTATGTGTATATCGATGAGAACTGTCTGCGTCGCAAGCAATTGTCTGACCGGCGCACTCATGCTTTTGCGAGTGCATTCACACTGGCGGATGAATGGAAATTTGATGCTTTTAGGAAGTCTACCCAACGCGCATGAAGGGCTCCTTTAACGCGTCAATGTTCCTCACTCGTCGCTCGAGAACGAGTCTATAACCTTTATTATGGTCAAGAGATATATTTTCGCATCGACTATTTACGCATAGCTGTAATTTAGTTAGTGATTAATCAGTCTTTATCGTTAATCGCTGCTTTTTTTCTCTTCGTTCACTAGCGCTACTTGAATCTATAAATATACAAAATATTCATAGACGTGCACAATTCTCTGTTTCTTTATACGACCTCATTATTTGCCAACAAATCACTCACAATGATTCGGTGTTTCGAAATTAAATCTAGATGTTCAATAAAATATTTTCTTTGACTGCAGAATTCAAAACAGTTTAAAGTCACTAGCTTGTTAGATCAAATCTATCAGCTTACAAATTATAAATATATTTTTAAACGAAAACACACATTCTCTCGATTAGATCCTGGTTGAAACATTGGTCGGATACATCGATAGCCAATGCCGTACATTACATGGGCGCAAAGTGAACGGATATTGATTCGTCAGATATTGCGTAATGAAGCGTGTATGACCAATGAAAAAAAACTTGATTCTGAGAAACGAATAAAAGACCTGTTGCATCGTTCGCCTTTATCATCGATCGGTATTTACTAGACGCGCCCGCGTAATCCTCGGTCGGTAAGATCGGTTGTATTCACATCAACGTTTCATATACCACTACGAGATTTTAGCCCTCGTCAGTCGGTACAGTTGCATGCGTTTACCTATACATGTGTTTTGGAAATTTAATGCAAAGTTTTACTAATGGAAAACTTTTAAACTGTTGCAAGCGTTTAATACCGTGTTCTACTTGAAATATGCCATGCCTTATATTTTTTTTTTGTAAAAAAAATCCATACGCCTCATTTTTGGAACATTATTTTGGTATCAAAAAACAAAAATAGCAATATTCGCATATTTAGATACGTAAAAGAGTTTAGTAAAAAGCTCAACTTTTTTTAAATATTTTGAAATTCTTCATCAATGATACGTTTACATGAAAGCTGAATAGAAAAATAATTTAAATAACACATTTCGACGAACCGGAAGCATAAATTTCTATGATTGATCAAAAATATTGGTGAAATGGTGTATTTATATGTGCTGACACAACAGAGATCCACAGTTAGAACGGTATTAAGCTCACATTAACTACCAGTGTCAACATTGAAGTGTTAAGATGGTATCTTATAAACTGTGTGACTCGCATTATACCGGACTTAAAAATATACGTTTACCAATCAAATGTAAGTACTCTTTATATTATTTGTGACAACTCGCAAAATATTGATTAAAAAACTGTTTCTCATCTTCATATCCTTTTTATATGTATCGGCCGACCGCCTAATAATTTAAAACGTATACCGATAATCTTTTAGAAAATTGTATTTAAAGACTGACCTATTCAAAATGTTCAAACCCTCAAATCAACTCAATTACGACGGTAATAAGAAAAAGTGTGCGAATGACTAGAGTTCTTAAAAGTTTATGCTGCAATAGCTGCGTGATTGTTTAGGCATTTTTATTTTCTCTTTGAACTATTAGCTTAAGAAAAAATAAAGATTTCAACTGCACTACAATTATGAAGTTTCTGAGTCTCAAGAATTTCCTTCCTTTTATTATTTACTGTATTGCTATGCGTCACTTCAACTGCAGTCTATGGTAGACAGTTGTTTTCCTTTCTGATTATTTGAGTATTTTCTTATAAGCAAGAAGTTGATCGAAAAAATTTCTCTCCTATGTAAAATTTTATTTTAGTTACGGACACAGTGTAAATTTATATAATTTTGACTAAGATATTGCCAAAGCTAGTTTTATTCAAGCTAAAATGCAGAAAATGTCTTCAGATAAATAGTTGTATTAGATATCAAAACAATGCTTAAACCAGTGTAAAAATGATCATTTTTAAGCCAGTTTTTTGAAGTTCCTACTTTTCTAAAATGCTTTATAGCGGTTCTAAAAATATTAGAATTAAGGTCACTTACACATGAAATTAGATGTAATCGAAATAATAAGTAATAGTCGATTTTAGTACATCAAAGCAGCACATAATTAAACTTATTAAAAAACCCAACTTGAAAAATATGCTCGAAAGTACTATTTAATGGACATTTCAGGGCTCAAAGGGGGCTTAAAGTGAAAAAAAATGTATTTAATTTTTGAAAAAATATTTCCTTCTTTTCATAGAATTTCTTAAAATTCCAAAATTTTATTTTTTACTAAGATACCATAATTTCCGGGCCTTTTTCGTAAAATTTTGTGTGTTAAATTTTCCCTTGAGTGTTTTCTGGCATTTTACTTTTTTCAAAAATTCATCTCACTTCTCGGAATTTCCATAACGAACCGTTTGAACAACAGTTCTCAGATCTTTGGAACATGAGTGCTTACGGTCAAGACCTCCGACGAAATTATCAAACCCATAGATCGATCTCAGTCAGTAAATTTATAATGGAGATAACAAAAAAAAATAAAATTAAAAAGAAGTCATGATTAAATGCCATTGCCGAATAATCTACGGGTTCAATTACCTCGACCGAGGTCCTGGACATAACCATTCATGTTCTGAAGAAGTGTACGCAATCCTAGTGCTGTATAGCTTTAATGCTTCAGATTAAAAGTTACGTCAAGTTAGGTGCATTTTTGAAAGGCGTAAAACAGTAGAAAAGGCAAAAAAAGAAAAAATTTTTATTTAAGAAAGAATTTTATATTAATATAGAAGATAAAAATTTAACTTTGAGCCCCTGTAGATCCATGAGAGATAGACCTAAAGAGCTGAAATTTTTAGAATTTTTATTTTTCAATGTACTTTTTATCAGTACATACTCAGTCTGGAAGGCATTTTGTTTAAATATCAAGCTTGACGTGGAATAGCCCATATGGTTAATTCATTATGTATAAATAATTGAGAATTCAAGCATGTAGGTAGAAGGAATTAATCATTTATAAACTGTTGCTGCAATAGGATTGAAATACAAACAATGAATTCATTATTAATCTCGACTATATTATGTTCAGGGCTCATTGTATACTGTCAACGTGCAATGACTATATTTCAATAAACTTGACTAATCTAATTGACGTTATAAACGGAATATTAATTGAAACATCGTTTGTCACCTGCATTTTCTTTTGTTAGATGCAAATAAGTTCACGAGTACTGATAAATCATCTTTGAATGATAAAACACCGTTAATATATCGAAAAAAAAACTAAATTTTCACCAATGATCTTTTAGCAAATTTTATTGAAAGCCCTACTGAAACTTAATTTTATTTGTCCATCAGAGCATAATTATTACTTTCTAGTGTAATTAATTCGAATTGGTTTCAGGGATATCTGCTTATAATTTTCGCTTGATTCAAATGAGAAGTGATTATCAAATTGATGAGAATTTTACAGTGGAGCAGCGGAATTTAATTTTTGAGTGAGTATTACTTGATAAAAGTTATAAAAATGTAACGATAATTTACATTTACATCAAACTAACCATTTTTTTTCTATTCTAAAATAGTATTTTACTAATAGATCGATAATATTTCATTGAATGAGCGCAAGTCTGCGTACGGGTGAACTATATTATTTATAATTGAAAAAAGTCTATGATTTATGGTCATTGGTAAGAATTTCGCTCTGATGACAGTTTGATGATGATAAATTGAGCTAAAAGGCTAATAGAATAAAACAAAGTTTGGCAAACTATAGACTAATGATATTGTCGAAGAATTCAAACTGCTATCAAGAAGCTTTTTTCCATGCGAATCAGATGTAATTGCTGTGTGAAATTTCCTATCTCTCTTTCTGTCTCGCTCTCTCTCTTTTTTAATATTTTTATTACAAGTAACGCATTCATGGTCGCAACCTCTTTTTATGAAACAATACTCGATTTATCAAAATTTTTAGCAAATCTCACAAATTTGCAGTTAAATAAATGAGACTAATAATTGAATAAATCGGTGTACTAACCGCTAATGAAACTCAAATGAACGTGTAGTTACCTAGGTGAAAAATTGGCCACTCAAAATAGTAAGAAGGTCAGAAACCCGGCGCTCGAGATGAGATTTCATACCCCTCAATTTCATCAATAAATTGACCAAAAACTAGTCAATGTATATGGGTGTGCAATGATTGTGAATTTACAGGTTATGAAAAATGAATTGGTCGAGACTTTTTAGCAATAGCCACTACACGAATGTGATAAACATGATACTTCAATATAATATAACCAAATAAGTTCTAAATGTACATCTTAGAGTGGAATTTCTTGACTATAATTGTAGTCTAAAACTACATGAAACATAACATCTAAACTAGGTTGGTTCAAAAAACCCAAGGTCTTCAAAACCTCAGTGTATCAGTTTTAGGTTTTTAATTTCCCGATGTATGGGATCCCTATGGATTTCATCTATTAATGTTAAATTTTAAAGGTCACTCAGCGAGGATTTTGTTTTTCTATTTAAATAACATTGAAAAATTAATTTTTTTCTCTATAATCTTCTATATCTCATGCCAAAAGAATCTAAAAATGATAAAAACATGTATTTTGATCAATGTTTTTTGCAACATTTTATCATCTTTATAAATTCAGCGCCCGAAATGAGATTGCTGCATCACGGCGAAATTAAGGAATTTTCGAATTCTAAAGAAGCATTGGAAAGGCGAACCAAAAACTTTTCCAAAGCTATATTAACAATTTTACCACAGGTGTCAATACCGTTAATATAACTGCAAGAAACAAATACGCTTTTCTCGAATTTCGTGACAAGCACGTTGTTTTAACACAAAATTGCTTTTATCTTTCGAAATAATGCATAAATTTCAATTTTTAAAACCGATAAAGATCATAAAATTTCGTTTTAAAATGCGTATTTTTTAAATCATTTTTATATTGTTTAGGAGGAGAGTTATAGAAGATTATAAAGAGAAAAAATAAGTTGTCCAACGTCAATGAAAAAATCCAAATTCTCATAGAGCGACCTCTATAACTTCATGTTAAGAGCTGAAACTCGTAGGAATTTCATAATTAGCGATGTTGAAGACATTAAGATTGATACACCGAAGTTTTAAAGAACTTTGATTTTATCAAACCAGCTAAATTTACACGTCTACGCGAGATTTACTGTCACCGAATAGTTTACGTTGGGTAAATAGGTACGTATGCACGCGTGTTCCTATTGAGCAGTATTTGATCGGTTTTTCGAAAAATGATAAATAGTTTTTTCCTCGTTGAGTATTTATTCGTTGAGAAAATTGAAACTGAATTTAAGTCATGAAATGGATAATAACCTGACCAATTTGTCGTAGCCAAAAAAATGGTGAAGATGTACTTAGCAATTCTAATTTTTGAAAGGGACTTCAAATTGTGGAGAGCCTAAAATATCCAGGACAGCAGAGGCCGTTGGGAAATGTCGAGCTTTGGAAACCGGTATGTGCGAGCTGTCTATGTCTGGCAGGCAAGCTACAGCCAGGCACAGGCGGCCCGACGACCAAGTAAACGATGCAAAAATCACGCGTATCATAACGAAGCCAAAGAGCGAGGCGAATGCATTACTTGCGCGTGTTCAGCCACGAGAAAGATGATTTTTCGATTGTAATGAAAGAATTGTACGAGAAAGCCGGTATATAACATAAATGCAAAGAGGTGGATTTTTGTTGGTTGTAAAAAGCGCGAACAAGTCGCGAGTAATGTGCACGCCTAAGAACGCCGTGTTGCTCGCATGGCAATGATCGCGCGATGCAAGTAAGAATACGAGCGTATAACGTACACACGTACACGCACGAACAAAGCCGGATTACACTGACACACGTTACGATCTCTTCTCCCTCTCTCCTGCATCTTCTCCGTTCTTCGGGCTTATCATGGGTATTTCTCTACGTGCTCATACCTACGTACAATGCGTACATACATACGCGCTGCGTACATCATGAACCTGTGAACATGCGGCTTATAATAGTTGCACTACTAAGCATAATTACGCAGTACGCCCTGCACGAATTTGACGCATTTGAGGTGCATGCACGTATTGTCTGTACCGCAAACTGCTAGAATCGTTTTGTTCAGCAGCTATCAGCAAATGCTTCATATTATTAACCCAAGAGCGAGGTTGAACAATAAACCAATTGGTAAATTTGCACATTATTTGGGGCAGGGAGATGGCTCTGCCACATTTGTATTTTTCCGTATATATCGGATCGTACTTAATAAAACTTTCTACGCGTCATTCAGCTGATTCAAAATGGATAAAACGGGTGCTTTGGTTGACTCGTTGTTGATTGGGCCTCATTATTTGCTTACTTTTTCGAATAAATTTACTATTAGAGAACCTTTAAATCTCACTTTTGGTACTTCCTCAAGGGTCCAGTAAAATTCTTCGCTTTAACAAGACGAATATCGATACACGAGTAGACTGCTCGCCTTTACCTTCCTCTTCACTTTACCTCCAACTCCTTATGCACTATAAGTGCTGCAGTACTATATAGCGCACAAACAGAAGAACAAATAATTACTATGCACTAGTCTACAATATTTTACACATATTCTCGTACTTCCGTTTTCTTTCTCTTTTTCTCTCTTGTAGTCTAATAAAAGCTTAATAATTATTAATAATAATAATAATAATATAAACGCGGTTGCAACTGTCTCCCTTGCTCTTCATCTTCTATACTTCTATGTTTTTTTCACTCTCAACATGACCACGAATGACATATTACTTAATTCACACTCGTAACGAAATAATTTCGCGGAACCTTTGCCCTTTGTTCCTACTATCTTTCCCTCTCCTTCTGAATTCTGTATGTAACCAAGTTGGAGAGTAGATCTATATATGTAATAGACAGGCGCCTGCATTATTCCTACATACGTATCCGCCCGACTGCAAGCGCTGTTTGCGTATAAGGGGCTAATGGTGCAATCGTGTACATTATTATGTATGTTCGAAAACCTCCCGAAGGGCAAAAATTATTCGATTTTCTCTAGTACTTCTCACGTAGCTCTCATCCCGATACACTGCACATACGTACATGATACATGGAGATAATTAATTACATTCTATTGCGCTATCATTCCGCTTATCCTTATTCTCTCTCTTTCTCTTTTTATATCTTTCTAGTTTCTACCGTATATATTATATACAATACGCGTGAAGGTATACTCTAGATATACACATATTCTGAAAGGCATTTATAGTTACTTTTATTTGTAATTTTTTTTAAAGTTTTTATAATACAAACTGTCACTTTTCGACCAGACAAGTTTGAGTGTCGATGGATAAAGCTGAATTTGTTTTTAATTGATAATTTTGATCTATTTCCCAACAGCCAATACATCTTTTTAATTTTGAGATTTAAACACTTTTTCTTGGTCCAAATGTGGAGGCGCCATTCTTAGAAGTTGCAAATTCATCATTCAACGGGACATACACTCTTGAATAAGTATAAATAAAAAGCTTTGCCAAGTATCCAATTACAATTTTAATGCAAAGATAATTTGGCACTTTGAGAGATGGAAAGTACAAGTTTCTTCGATAGCTTCCATGATCATGCAATGTTTGTATCTCAGAAAGCAAAAGATGATAACTTTGATTTTCTCCTGTATATACGTTAAATTTCACGCTCACTTACCCTGACAATATTTGATATATTTGATTACGTTTTTGTTTATTTATTTTTGATAAATAGCTACTCTTTTATGATAATTTTAATGTTATAAAATATAGTATATTATAGTCTTTTAATTTTTTTGAAATATTCTTGCACCATTAATTTACGGTTAATTACGGTTATTATTACATTTCATTATACCAACCAACCATTAAAGATAGTTTTTGAGGATTTTAGTAAAAAGAAAAATGTATAATAAAGTCAAATGGATGCACGAATCGATGGGTGAAAAACCCATAGAAAATACCCTTTTAAAAACGCTTGACAGCTTTTTCAATTCCCGAAACTATTTTTTGATATTTTCAAATCTTTAGATTTGGTGTCATGCCCTTTCATACTGAGTAATTAAATGGTTATCAAAGTAAAGTTCAGAGGTGCCCTTATAAAAAAAAAAGTCGTTAAAAAAAACCCGTGCCGCACTCCGGCCGTAAAGGACGCTGTGACATAAAGTCTTATCTTAAAAGGATTTTTACAAAAACCCTGGTATGAATGATAAATTTTTCCGCTATTATTGAAAAAAGTGTTACAAAAATAGTGGAAAAATGTAGCATTTATACTACAGTCAGGTATGGCATATTTCATATTCCATATTTCACTTGAATAGTTTTTTATTGCATTATGATGTTTAATAATATTATACTCCTTATATATATAAAAATGAAGCAACTAATATTTCTTCTACAGAAACATCTATCAAGAATTAAAACATGAGCTACCATCCGTGTTTAAACGCGTGAGTCTGATGGAAGTTGAATCGCAGTGGAGATTATTAGTAAAGCAATACAAAGTAAGAATATACTGATAATTCATCCAAAAATGCAAAAATAATTGTTTTTAGGTACAGTACTTCAGAGTTTTTAACGCGTTTAAAATCGAAAGAGGAAGGAATAGTTTTTCATTTGAGCTCTAGTATTCAATTAAATAAATAACTTTACTCATTATTTCCATTTTCGATCTTAAAAGTATAAAAACTTTGAAATACTGAATTTGGCTTAAAAATAAGCAATGAGAATTTAAGTCGAAATATCCTTTTATAAGCTGAAGGTTATACATAGAAAAAATGGCATTAAAAAATGAAACATTACAATATCTATATTATTGAATTATTAAAGGCATTAAGTTCAAATTTATAATAAATTTTGTGTATATTCGAATAGGAAGTGACTGAAAATGTAAAAAAATGTCACACATGGCCATACTTCTTAATAATGAATGATTTGGCCAATTCATTAGGAGGAGCTCAGAAATTTATCGAAAGTGAATTGTCATACAATTTTATAACACCGTCAGTACCGGAGCATCAAGCTGAGGTTGAAAAAATTAAGAATATTCCGATGGAAATTATACCATCGACAGACAGTCTGGCATTAACTCAACATGTCAGTGATGCGAGTTTGATGTTTACTACACTGATAAAGAAGTAAGTTATTAACAATTTCTAATCAAATTATTTACCTTTATAAATTTTTACATGTCAAAAAGTAATATTCTTGCTAGACAAGATTAATACGACTCAACTATTTCCAGCGATTAATTTAGTAGTAACAGTTTTCGCGAATAACATTTAAAAAATAATAATTATCTTTGTCATTACTTATAGTGTAATTTTTTTTGCTGACATTGTTTTGGTAGTCTTCGCGGTCAAAAAAAGAAAAATAATACTTTTAAAAAAAATGTTAAATGTGATTATTTTCGCTGGAATTTTAGGAGAAATGAATTTCGTTACTGGCAGAGAAATATTGAAACAGTAAGTACGTGCCGATGAAAACTTTTGCGATAAAAAAACTAATTTCAGGTGGCAAAAAATGAATCAACTCAATCACGTAAATATTGATAACTTCATTTTACGTATTTAATATTTATTTGTAGTAATTTATCTGATAAAAAATCAATTTATTACTCTTTTTCAAGAATAAAGTTTGGAAAGAGTAGGTCCTTGAATGCGAGTGCAATATAACAAACAAAGCAGTTCATTATATTTGTTAAAAAAGAAGGCTAGAGCGTGTACGCGTATTTGGTAGCTCTTGTATACTCATACATACATATTAGTATATTAAGTATATAGAAGCTTTGACAACAAGACGCACTACACGAGAAAAGGGTGTACACGTATGTACAGTATCGTGCGAGTGCCGCGAAGCGAGTCTCCTATTCGGTATGTGTGCGTGTGCTCTTACAGACAATTCACAAGTAAAGCTACGCAACCCTCTTTTCATTCGGCACGTACGTACGCATGAATGTACGGAGTAAATGTATATATATATAGCCTCGTACACATGCACACATGTGCTAGTGTACGTATATATTGCAAGGCGTGCACGCGTACGGCCAATAACTCCTTGACGCTAATCGCGCAAGAGCCCGAAACGAATGCCTTCCGGCATAACACGTGCTCTCTCTTGCTTATGATTCTAATGTACTACATATATCTATAAACATACAACTACCCCTGACGCACAACTCTATATGTAATTTCGTGGCACAGTGCAGAAGAGGTGATTTTGAAAAAATTTAAGAATTTCAAAAATTTGCACTGAAATGGTCTTGCTTAACTATGTATAGTCTGCATTGACACCAGTTTAGAATTATTTTAAAAGTATAGGTAAAGCTTTGAAATCTTCATACATTGATAAATCTTTGTTTCTTATTAAAAAAAATCATGTCTAACATAAAAAAATTATCAACTTGAAAAACAGTATTGGAATTTTGAACAAAATAATCTTACGTCTATTAAAATTTTTACAGCGTGTCGAAATCGAATAAATGTAGTCCTCTGGAAATATGCAAAGCCTTGAAAATGTTGAAAAGACAAAAAGGAAAATCTAAGCGCAAATTCAGTAGTACAGGAACAAGACAAAACTCCATCCCGGCTTGCTCTAGAAGTCACGTTGGTAGCGTTAGGGAAAGCAATCATAACGCTAATAAACGCACCAATAGTATTACTGCTAAGGAAAAGACTCATATTAACGAAACGCATCCAGTAAGAATAAGTTCTGTTGATAACATTGATGTCAATCTCGAAAGGTGCCAGTTGCAATTAGATACCAAAATAAAAAGAGTAGATGAATGCGAGGAAATGGATTTTGAGATGGATGTACGTTTGGAATGTGAAGATGAAGTTTTTCATGATTAATTTATGTATCATCACTGCAGCAACTGATGAAGTTTATCATAAAAATCAATAATAGATTTAAGAGACAGTTTTGTAAATAATAAATATTTACATAACATTAAAATTTAAATATTAAAATTAAATTAAATTTTTTACTTTCACGAATAAGTATATTTAATTAAGTTTAGAAAGTAGCAAAATTACATAACTATAACAAAGCTCAAAACCAAAGATATTGATCTAAACATTAATATTTTAATATTGTGAAATCGTAATTAATGCGTAACAGTTGAATCATGCGTACAATAAAAATCCTTGTTATACTTGAATTTATACTTGTTAATATGCTTGTAAATAATGTTTTAACGAGGCGGCTAGTAGTGGGATGATACCTATCATAAGTAATACGTTTAGATTCAATTAGTTAGTTAAATGATTGTGACAACTGACTTTATGAACCATTTTATATAAATAAAGATATTTCAAAATTTCGAAACAAAAGTATAAATTTGTTGTATTTTCTGTGTTAAAATTTACTTATAACGATGAAAAATGATGTACTTAACAGAAACACATTTTTAAGTAGCGATAATCACTTTAGATAAATTGATTTAAAAAGAAAATTTGAGTTTCATCAAAATGCATCTGATATAGCATATAATATGTAATTCATTAATAAATTCCTTGCATGCTTCAAGTACACGTTTAATATTTGGCCCCTTAAGAAGGAGGCATGCGTGTGTCGGAAAGATAACATTACAATTTCATCGGGCTAAAGAATTTAAAATTAATTTGTTGTCGGTAATTATTACTTTGAAGAAGCAAAAATACGTTGTGAATACGGACAAGCAGTAAAGCAGTAGCAGCGAAATTCATCAATCTACGTTAGCATCGTCGCAAAGGGAGGGTACTTCAGGGCGAAAGACAAAAACCCTATTCAGCGAACTCATACACAATGTTGGATACGAAGGTGGTTTTTTACGATACAATCTAATCTTACTACTATCAGTCTCAAAAACAAAAGGCTACGTATACCGCATTTACCTCAGTGCAGCCATGGTATAACTAGGCCATAGTCACGAGCATACCTGTATCGAGAGTGAACTAGGAAAAAATCATGCAAGCAAAAGAAGCATACTTGTGCGACCGCGATACAATCTAAAGGCTGCAGAGGCACAGGTAGAAGACCAAGGAAAAGCCAGGCTGGAGGAGAGCACAAAAAGTTGAAGTTTCGACGCAAACGAGCTCTGCCCGGTATAATCGATACGTATTGCATATCATATATAAAAATGAAGCGACGCGTGCATAAGCAGCGGGTGCATCTACGGCAATGCTCGAATGAAATTTTCGAGGGCGCCTGTATGACTGACGCAGGTTATATATATGCATGAGTATACTCGTGCCCAAGAGAGGCAAAGGTAGAGAAAAAAGAAGGAAAAAGAAAAAGGGAGGGTGAAAGCAAGCAAGGTCAGAACGCAAGCGCGCCCCTACTCCTTTTAGCGTTATTTTTTTCGCGTAGATACTTTACGTAGAAGGAAGCCTAACAATAATTCGCAGCATACAACAAGCATGTACATCATACATAGGAGTGTGCGTGAGCTCGCTCGCGCGCGCACCTCAGAAAGAGAATGAGAGAAATCGGATATATCCGGGATTCCCTTTTTATGCGCGCGAGCTGCACCGGCGTTACGATACCTCGTGCGCTTCCGAGACTACATATTGAGCCTGTATTGCGTATAACTAGGCGTGGGATTGATCTTTTGTACAATATTGTACAGTTACTTGAGAGTACGCGGGGGTGATATGAGTGTAACAGAGTATATAGTATACTCTGTGTGCTTTTATAGCTCTTGCTTTCTTCAGCTCAGTATACCTTTATCTCTCTCTCTCTCTCTTCCTCCTTCTCTTTCTTCGTTTCGCTAAATTGGACGGAGCTTTATAGATTCTAGCTGGTATCATGCAATCCTCTCGCGAACCTCGAGCGCATAGTGCGTGCATCGAGCTAGCTCGTTGTTTATTAGCTACAGCCGAGAGGAAGAAGGATAATGAAATCTGCAGCGCGGAGTCGTTGCCATTGCCATCGCCGCCGATGATCGATAATCAATTTGACTCCGCACTCCGAGTTTCGCGTTCATATAACGTTCACATAATGCTGCACGAAGACACGCAGGATTATATACCTTATAGCAATTGCCATCTGATTTGTGTATATGCTATGTGAAGCATATGTGCTGCATGTATAATAATATCATGCAACGATGCGAACTTTCGAGCAATACGAGCCTTCCTTCCTTGCGCGCTCGCTCGCATTTCGTTCGAGAATTTATCAATAATGGCCGCTGCTTGACGAATGGGATAATATGCTCACAGAGCGAGCTTTCTGAATATGACCTTAATTTTTTAACGATCCGATCGTCCATACACATATGAGCTTTGATCTCAATTGGACTTGATCGATATTGTTGCCTCTTCAATAATTTATCGAATTGATGGGCTCGCGCGCTACTCGATTGTTGTTTACGATCTTTCGTATCGAGTATGGGAATGTATCAACGAGCGGGTCTGCCCTCGGTCGCGCGTAGTATCCAGCGCTTTATGGAACTTTTTATCTATAAACATTGAACGATTCCATACGTGGCCAGCATATATTTCCTCTCTACAAACGTAAGCCGGTGAAGAATACGTCATTTTTCCGATAACCAGCCATTTTTATATAAATGAAAAATGACACTTCTCAACTTTCAAATCGAAACAACGAGCAAAGTGTAGGAGTAACATATCAAGCTATAAAGCCGGACAGAACTTTTTGGAATTTGGAAATTTTTTCAGTCGATTATTGGATCCATTATAGGTATAGCCAATCGAATGTCGCGTGAAAGAATGTCCGACCATGTATTACATGCTGTACATTGGATTGCAGCATTACACTTTTCTACTCGTAGGATACGTGCCACCGTGCAGCGTATACCGATATTTACGAACGTATATAAATATAACTGAATCGTTATCTGGATGGTGGCGCGAGTGTAACGAAGCGATAAGGAGGTCGATTCGTTTGATTGGCTAGCTCTTGGCCCGAAAGGCTTCGTACGATCGCTGCAGTGCATCGATACTTTTTCTCTTTCTTGATGTGTATATAGTGCCATTAAAGCCTGTACAAGGCTCACATAGACTTTTGGAAAACGTTTTGCTATACGTCAAGCCGGAAACTCTCGGCCGGCTAGTAACTGCACTGTACTCGCTCGTGCTGTGCGCGCCCGCGCGCTATTCTCTACCTGTACGTGTCCACGAATTTTTCAAGTTCTCCAACGCGCTCGACTAAAAAGGATTAATTAAGGAAATGAACGTTTACGAGCAATAGCCTCTTTCTGAGGAAATTCAATCCTCCGATTTTATCCGGCCAAGCGAATAAATTAATTTACGTAATTTTCAATTGCATAATGAGTGTATCGCAGTTCTTGAATCGTTTCGTTACTTCATTGTAATTAATGTGCGTGCGCACATAATAAACTGCCAGGGCCAATGCTGCCAATCAGGCAATTCGAATGCATGTAGCAGTCGATCCAATAATAAAAATAAAACTTTACATAAGGAAAGTGAAACGCAACAGCATCGTCGGCAGCGGCAGCAACGGGGTCGATTTAGCTTGTAGTAAAATCAATAAAGATCAATGGCCTGCAGCAGAAATACTTGAGAACTCGTCGCAATGCTTAAGGTTCTTTGCTTGCTCGCAAAAATCAATTCCACAACCATGTCATAATATGAATCGTTCTTTTCACTCTCTATCAAATCCAATGAAAATCACATGCAATTTTTGCAGTGTATCTACTTTGGAATGCATATAAAACGTTAACAATCAAAAATAAAATTAAAATAATCAAATATGCTGAAAATTATCCCTCCAAGAAAAAAAAATGTCAGCAGCATTTGAAATCCCTACAAACACACCATCTGTAATTCTGAAAAATGAAGAATTTATTCAAAATAGTGAAGGAAGAAAAAGTTGAAAAAAGAAAAGAGAATCCAATTTTCCAGATTCGATAAAAAATTATAAAATATATTTTCAACAGCAAACTCGTCAGACAACGTTACGTAGGGTAATACGTTAAAAACGTACATATATTTAGAAAGTTGTGGAGATACGATTCATTAATTTTTTTTTTGCCACCTTTAAAATTTGATCGTTTATCGATGCTACAAATAACTTTATAAGAAAGCTAAACGCGAAAAAAATAATAGCCTTTCTTCAAATAAAAATGAATTATAACATTTTATTGATTGTTTTTTAACTTTTGATATCTAACTTTATTATTTCAAAAAATGTCGCTTTATTCGAAAATTCGCTTAATTTGTAAAATGTATTCAATCCCTTAAGATTTGAATTAGCAGCGTTTCACTGTGTATTATATGTGTTCTGCTGCGTACCCTGTTTACTGCATCGTGTCGGTATAGTTGCACCACTGCGCACAATGTTGTATGGCGTAGTTTGGCGTCGTAAATATACACTACTATACCCTCATCACATACGCATAGTTACTATCGATGCATGTGTATTTCGCTTCACTGCTCCTAGTGAATGCATCGACATATAAACTTGCTACATACGGAGGAAAGAGAAAAAGGAGAAAGAGAGAGAGAGAGAGAGAGAGAGAGAGAGAGAGAGAGAGTGAGTGAGAGAGTAAATTTATAAATGTTGATATAGTCGGGTCTCGATCATTCCGAGACTAGGCGTATTTTTTTTCGTCTTATTTTTTTCATATCGCGTACCATCGCAGAGGTTAAAAGACGAATAAAAAAAAAAGGTTTCATTGTTGACCAGACAAACGAATGTCATTGGATTCGCCATATACAGCTACACGCTCATAAGTTTATACTTATATTTTTATACGTATTTTCAGTTGTATTTGATTTTTTGAAAGAAAGATAGAGGCGGAAAATTTTTCGACGATGAGGTTGCAGGGGATTTTGCGATGCAGTAACAGCCGGAGAATATGAGAGAAGTTTTCGAAAAGGAGATTGAGAAAGTCGTACGAGCAGCAACAGCGACAGTAGTAGGACGATATACATAGGTATGGAAGCGATTCTGCCAGGCGCTTAACTCTCGGGTGAGATTTGCATCTTCCTCCCCAATAGCAAAGAGAGATGTCACGCGAGCTTTGCAACGAGTTTCCGACGTCGACGTCGACACGGAGCGCGCGCGCGTATTTGTACACGTGCGACGGACGGCGAATGCTTTCTTTTTCCGCATTAAAAGAAAAGAACGATGACGGACGCGCGCTGTACGATCGACGTGTTTCTTTCGATTTATCACTCGGATTTTTTCCCCCTCTGTTTTTTACTATCCGTGTGTGTAGGGCATTTCTCAGTAGAAAAGAAAATGCGTGCGAGGCGCGTTGAACTCGATTAAACGATAATTCGTCGTTACTGAAGCGAAAGAGACGAAATCTATATTGGAAACTACTTATGAGGACGAACAGAAAATGCCAAGATTTTGCT